AGTCCGCTCGAAATTTGCATCACCATGCGATGGGGAATACCTAGCGGTGGAAAATATATACGTTGGGTGCACAAACAATGCGAAATAATTAAAAATCCGTTGGTCCGAAAGGCACACGATACCATTATCCTACAGATCGCCAGCAGTCGGGCGACTCACATTCATTACAGCACGAATGGGTATTAACATAACTTTAATTTTATTATTGCTCAGGTAAATTTGTTCGCCACGAGAAATGATTGATTGGCGGCCGAGATTTTATCATAATATGCCTGGTTGATTTTATATTCGATTTTCCTTTTGACTTTTTAATAAATGCGGGATTATCTTTAAGAATTCTTAATTATTTTAATAATTTTTAAATATCGCGCGATGGCAGTGGAAGGTTTATTACATGCACGTTAGTCTGACAATTACGAATGCACGTTTTTTTGGTAATAACTTTTAAATTGAATTTTTCACCATCAAAAAACTGTGTACCAACTAGCAACTTTGGGCACAACTGTACTTTTTACGTCCTTGCTAGTTTGTTTTTCGACATCAAAGGTAAGCCTCGAAACTCCCGCTGATTTGGCCAAAAACTAACAGGACCTGACAGCTTCTGGCCAATCCCCGATGCGAATTCTCACTCCGTCATCTGTCAAAGCCATTTGGTGTGACCTGTTGTCGCCTACCTACTTGGTACAGTCACCACAGCAGGTGAAAATGGCAAATGGCGTTTCCATGCATTTAGCCTGGCCGCAAAAACGTATGCAACACCTTTTGTTTGACGATCGTGTGCTAATACGGTGTGAAAAAAAGTGGTTCACCCCTGTGCCTCTGACACTTTTCCATGGCTTTTTGTTTGGCATTTTGTTTGGCCGGGGCTCTTTCCTTTTTACGCCTTCTTTTGGGCTTCAGTCGCTTTTCTGCGGGCGTTAACCGACGCTGTTTTGTTGTTGACTTTGCGCTCCAGTTGCTGGTCGCGAAAAAAAAGAATGGTTTGACTGAGGGGGGTGCTGAGTAAAAGCCAAGCTCGTGTTAGAGAGTCCATATTTGCCTTTGTGGAACTATCATTAAACAAGTGAAGCCACCAGCAGAAAACTGCGGAAAACTACTGCACACAAGCCACCACACAAGCAGCTCACCTCAATCCACCACACGAAACACATTAAAAGCGAGGCCAAAAGACAAATGCAGCCGCACAAACAAAGCAACAAAGGAGCTAAGCTTTCACTGAAACAAAAAACCTTAGTTTAGTTGTGTCTTAATGAAGGGGCAGTGTGACCATTATACTAACAGATGGCTAAAAACAAAACTAATGATACAGTGTGACCATGCCAGTAGTATTTTGGTTATAAATGGGATATTTTAAAAACAAATTTTCAAGTCGGAGAATGAAATGCCTTTTAAGTCATTTTGTATTAAAGAAAAATTCAACTTTTAAAATTATAAATGTTTTCCCTCAGTGCATTTGCTGCCTTTTGACTTCTCGCAGGCACTTTTGTAGCCTTTTTAAGCTTCTAACTACTGCTGCTTCATCTGCAGCTTCGTTTTTTCCCCAACAGAAGCAGCAGCAGCAGCAGTCTCTTCCTTGGCTTAATGTGTTTTGCTGCTGCTTCCCGCACATTCGAGCATCTCGGTATCCTGACATCCTGGTGTTCTGGTATCGTGGTACTCTTTAGCCCTTTCAGTCCTGCATTTGACACGGCATTTTGCATAGAGCGGCGATTCACAGGAACTAACAACACTCGCAGGGCACACAACCGCAAAGGATGCCAAAGCAGCAGCCAAGTGTCGGTCTATTTGGCCAAAAAATGCCTCGAGGACTGTTAAACCGATGCCTGGCATTGTCATCTCTCTATGATGTGCTCTTTTATTTTCTTGCGTTTGTTTTCCTTTTCTTTTTCTTCCTGCCTGCCAGCCAGACGGCTGTGGTTTAAGCAATTTAAGGATTTCTGTTGGGCATTTGAGTGATTTCTGATTGCTGTGTTTTTTTCTGTGGGCGGACAGTTTTTTATGCCTTGTTTGCTGAGTGAAAATAGATCGGTTTATGATGCGAAAACCTTAGGGATGTTAGCAGGGCCTAGGTAAATTGCTTGACATGCAGAAAAAGGAGGTGGAAAAGTGTTGGAAGGCTTAAGGGAACAATTAAGGAAAGAGCTAAGACCATATTGCATTGACTTAAACAAGTAAGGCTCAGACTTTTATATATTTATCTAACAGAAGTCGCAGCAACCACTAGTTTGTTTGTAAATTCATGAACTGGAACTTAACTAGTTTCAGCACTTTATTGGTTGTCAAGCACTTTCGACCCCAAGGACCAACGCATCGGTCCTTTTTTCCCTTATAAAAAGAAACAACGCTTCAATTTGTCTCAAGTTGTCAGGTCGCTGGTTGTTGTTGCTGTTCCACCGTACACTTTCAACTTTCGTCAGCCAACTAGTGCGATGTTCTTGTCGGTGACTTTGACACCGTTTTCCACTTTTCGTTAGCATGTGAGCCAGTCAGCCAGCCAAGGAGAGTCCTAGCCCCTCCTGCCACGCCTACATTGACATGGCACTTATTTTCTTATTATTAAGTATACGCTTAGTGGGCCTGCGAGGTGTTGAGAGATGAGGTGGAGGTGGAAGTGAAGCTGCAGCTGCTGTGGAAGTGCGCCAAGTAATGATTACTTTGTGTCTGCCACTGACAAATGCCGTCAGTCAAAGTCAAAGTTGGTGACGAAGGAGGAAGGACGCAAGGGACAGGGTGCAAAGGATGGGGATGAGGATGGTATGGTGTTGACGACGACTCAATGCGGAAGGAAGTTCAAGCACAAAAGGTGCACAGTCAATGTAAAGGAGTCGCCGGTCTCCTCCGGTCTCCTCCAACAGCTCCTTTTGGCCTGTGCATTCATGTGCATCGGCTTTCGATGAGATCAGAGAGGTGAAGCAGTCCTCCCCCCGCTGACGACAGTCCATTTCAATGCCCAGAAAGTGAGCTGTAAGACCCCGGCAGCGAAAAAAGTGTGCACATTGTCAATTTTGAAATTCTAATAAGAGTTTCACTTTTTCAGCTCACAGAATCCGTTGTTGAATTTCCAATGAGAGCTTTTTTGTAGAAAGAAATGAAGCTCTCGAACCTTTAGTAAATATAAAGCGGAAGTAAATAAGAAATGGAGAAAATTTCTTCAATAAATGTAAGTGGATTAGACCCCAACAAATAAATAATATATGGCTTTTGTTCCGGCAGAAAAATACGAAAAATATTAAACTTAACTTTGTAGTTTGGGTACAATTTGATAAGATACTCGTATGAGCAAGGTCACACGATCTTTGTTATCAGTTGGTTTGTCTGGAGATAAAAATGATGAAATTTTGCAATAGAAATAATTTGCAGACAGCTGACCTAAAAAATAAACCCTTTTTTAGTTTAAGGGGGAAAAATAAATAATGAAATTCCATCAACCAGCTTTAATGGCATTAGGAGCACACCAGCAGATTACGAAAAATCATTTTCCTTTAGGCCATGTCCGATTGAAAGCCATCCCCACACAAAATTCAATTTCCTATCCACTTAGCCATTGATTACCATGGACCGAACACTGCACACCAACACGGCTTCCGTCGCCGCCCGTCAAATCCGTCCAAACAACACATTGCCATCGACGTTGCCATCGCCATCGCCTTTCGGTGTCTCTCCCCCGTCGAACCCCAAAAACGATCCATCTCCTTGTGCTTGGCATTTCCGCTGTCACTCGCTTTAATTACGCCCCCCACTCGGAACGACTTTCTGGCCGAGTGACTGGCCAAATCCAGAAATCCACTATCAATAGATGAAATATGCCCGTCAATGCACTGGCCTCTGGCCATCATCAGTCATGGGCATATTTTGACAGTGGCATTAGTCGGAAGCTTGGAATCATCCTCTCTATGAGCTTCGCTAGCTAGTGGAGCTCCGCGTTGATTCTCATTTGCAATCGAAACTTGTCTACGGGTGACAATCAATGCGATACTGGCTACTGGCTACTGGCTTTTGGCCAACAGTTTCCCCTTTGGGCCATAATCCATTCTGGGCTACTCTGCAGCCTGTCAACATTCAGCATTCAAATGGCCTGGCCTTCGTTTGGCATTTCCCCACGCTAACGATGCAAAGTGGCAATCAATATTTTTCTTTTGTTGCCTTTCCCCAATTAATAGCAGATAAAAGTTCTTGTGTGCATATTTTGCCCTTATACGCCGCCCGTTCTGGCATATTTGGACTTTTTGTAATAAGCCAAAAGTTTTGTATAGCGGCCTCAAATTGGATGTGTCAGTTGCAGGCGATTTGTTGGCTTAATTGGTTAGGGCAAGGCTTGCAAATTCGGGGTAATTATCTTTCTTAGCGATGGTATATTTTTTTCGTTTAATTAATGATGCCTGAAGTAAAGAAAATTCTACTGTAAAGAGCTAAAAAAATATTTTTTTTTTCGCACTATAAATGTGTTTTTCCCTGCTATCAGCTGTCTGCCGTGTATCAAAGTCTGCAGAGCCAAATATAAAACAATAGGAATTTAATAGAAGATATGAAATGTGTCTGGAAGCTGCAAACACGTGCCAAAATATAAATAGCCACCACCATTGTAAAACATGAAACGGAAGGTTTTACTTTGTTTTTCAAGATAATTTTGGGCATGTTTGATAACAACAAAATAGCATAGTCTCTTCACGTCCGGTAATCATACCGCCAAAAGGCGAATTTCTCAAGAATTTTGATAAGAAAAAACTTTTAAAATGTTTTTGAGCCGCTTAATTCGCAAATTCGATTTTGGGAATATAAAATAAAACTTTGGTATAGGAAATAGGAATTTCTAAATATTTCAGAAAAATATTTACATTTAAATAGTGTAAATTAACCAAAAAACACTTGAAACGAAACAGAGTTACAAAAAAGAGAACTGATAACTTGATCACGAAAGCGTGCGTTGATTGTGATAAGAGAGAATATGATACAGATCTTGTTAATAATTCAGTATCTTTGGCAAAATTTCGTTAACCAATTGTCTAATGAGCATTTTGGCAAATTGGAAATTTTGGCGCGGTATAAATAGTGGGGACAATAGCTCGAAATGGTCACAGTACCTTCACAGTCTCGGAAAAGTGAACCTGAACCATCTGCAGACATGAGGAATATATACGGTAAAAGAAATCGCAAGTAATCCAACATTTAGAGCTAACCAATCCACTTTTGGTCCCACAGCTTTTGCCCTGCTGCTCATTGCAGTCTTTGCAAGCACCACCAGCGGTGCCAGCGTTTCCGACCTTCTGTGTCGCAACAAGGCCAACGGTATTCGCGCCCTGGTGCCCGGCAGTTGCTCCAGGTTCTATGAGTGCCACAACGGCGTTGCCCAGGAATATACGTGTCCCAAGTTCTATGACTTCAAGATCCGCAGCTGCGTGACCTACAACCCTGGCTGCGTCGAGGGTGTTGTGGTGGAGCCAGTGGCCAAGCAGTCCGTTCGCGATACCGCTCAGCCGTGCAATGGTGCCACAACCACTGCACCACCATGCGAAACCACCACACCACCGTGCGTCAAGCCCACAACCAAGCCTCCATGCTCAGGTTCTGAGACCACAACTACAACATGTGCGCCTGGAGAAGTAACCACTACTACTACCACCACTGTGGCTCCAATCACGACGACAACCACCACAACATGTGCCCCAACAACTACGACCACCACAACCACAACAACAACGACAACTACAACCACCACAACCACTACAACAACAACAACTACAACCACCACAACAACATGTGCCCCAACAACTACGACTACGACAACCACTGAGGCACCAACTACGACTACGACAACCACTGAGGCACCAACTACGACAACAACCACAACCACTTGTGCACCAACAACCACGACCACTACTACCACAACCACTACCACTACTACCACAAGCACTACCACCACAACAACAACTATTACCACCACAACAACTACAACGACAACCACTACAACATGTGCTCCGACAACTACGACCACCACAACCACAGAGGCACCAACCACGACGACAACCACAACCACTGAGGCACCAACCACAACGACAACCACAACAACTTGTGCCCCAACAACCACGACCACAACTACCACAACCACTACAACAACGACAACTACAACCACCACAACCACTACAACAACGACAACTACAACCACCACAACAACATGTGCCCCAACAACTACGACTACGACAACCACTGAGGCGCCAACCACCACGACAACCACTACCACTGCGGCACCAACCACCACGACAACTACAACAACATGTGCCCCAACAACCACGACCACTACTACCACAACCACTACAACAACAACAACCACCACTACCACCACAACCACATGTGCCCCAACAACCACGACTACTACAACCACGACTACTGAGGCACCAACAACGACGACGACCACCACAACATGTGCCCCAACAACGACGACCACTACTACCACAACCACCACTACCACAACCACTACAACAACGACAACTACAACCACCACCACGACCACAACAACATGTGCCCCAACAACCACCACCACTACGACCACTGAGGCACCAACAACGACGACAACCACCACAACTTGTGCTCCAACAACCACGACTACTACTACCACGACCACTACAACAACGACAACTACAACCACCACCACAACCACTACTACATGTGCCCCAACAACCACCACCACTACGACCACTGAGGCACCAACAACGACGACAACCACCACAACATGTGCCCCAACAACCACGACTACTACTACCACAACCACGACTACTACTACCACAACCACTACAACCACGACAACTACAACCACCACCACGACCACAACAACATGTGCCCCAACAACCACGACCACTACAACCACTGAGGCACCAACAACGACGACAACCACCACAACTTGTGCCCCAACAACCACGACTACTACTACCACAACCACTACAACAACGACAACTACAACAACCACCACAACCACTACAACATGTGCTCCAACAACAACAACGACCACAACCACTACAACGACAACCACTACAACGACAACCACAACCACGACAACATGTGCCCCAACAACAACCACGTCAACCACTACGACCACAACGACGACAACATGTTCCCCAACAACAACGTCCACCACAACCACTTGCGGCCCAACAACTACGACAAGTACCGTATGCGCTGACAAGACCACAACCACCGTTTGCGCTGAGACGACAACCACCGCTTGCGCTGACGAGACAACAACCACTGCTTGCGCTGACGAGACAACAACTGTCTGCCCCACAGCCGCGAAGGCTTTGGCTGCCACCCAGTCGAAACGTAATCCCACCCGCCGCAATCCTGTCCACCGCCTCCTTTGGGAAGTGGCCCAATGGGCTGGTATTTCGTCCGCCAGTTCCGCTAGTTCCGAGGTTCAGATTAAGGTTTCCTGCGCCGGCAAACCCGATGGATTCCTATTGGCTTCTCCCGAGCGGTGCAACGACTACTACATCTGTCGCCACCAGCGCGCCCTGAAGGTCAGCTGTGGTGATCGGTACTTCAACGGACAGAAGGGCATCTGCGATCTCCCCGAAAACACCAGCTGTGTTCAGTCCTAAGTGATAACTGCCCGAAATGCTGAGACCAACATCATCATGGAAATGTGACAAAAAACTATGGATCGAAACTTTTAATTATTGTAAAAGCACTATTTGAACATGCACTTAAAAAACAGCAAAGGCTTATAAAAGGCTAAAAAAAAATATATATTTTGATTCTCTACAATTTTTTGGGACACAAAATGTAAAACCAAAATGAATTTTTCGTCTTTATATTTTCGATTAAATTATTATTAACAAGTTAAGCATTTTTCCAATTAGTGATTAACATTTAGGAATTGGGATGAAGAATTTTGGTTGCAATTAAAATTTGGCAACGATTTTTGGGACATACCATAATAGTAGAAACTAAAATGTTTTATAAAAAGTTTAAAAAAAAACAATAGGCCGACGCCAGCGTGTGTTGCATTTTATTCGATACACATACATTATTATTAATTTATTTTTGGCGCCCAATGTGGGACTTATTCTTAAATAAGAACGTTTAAAATTCGCATTCAATTTTAAGTCGGAAATTATTTAATAATTTAACTAACAAAAGATGTTTTTCCTCTTTTGTATTGCAGCATCACAACCACTCGTTGAGCCCCTCATAGCCAGAATTCCGAGCAACGCGCGCAAAAACCATTGGAAAAATCCTCACGCACAATGAAAAACGACGTCGTGCGATGGAGCAGGCAGCCAACTAGCAACATCAACAGCAGCAGCAGCAGCAATAGTAGAAGCAGCAACAGCCACAAACACAGAAGCAAAAGCAACGAATTAAATGCTCGACAATTAGGGCCACATGCTGCCAGAAGTTGTCAGCAGAGAGAGGAAGAAGAACAACAACAAACAATCAATGAATGTGATATAGGAAATTTCAATTTCGATTGCAATTTATTCAAAACTAGTTTTTTAACGCAATACAAACCGAAACTTAGTGGCAACAGCAGCCAGAGGAGAAGCAACAGCAACAGCAAAAGCAGATGCATCAGCAGTAGTAGCAGCAGACACTTGGCGAAAACGAAAGCTATTTTGCTGTTAGCTCTGCAATTTAGTGCCGTAGTTTTTTTATGTAATTTTAATGTCGGTTTCGTGGCGGCGGCATCATCAGCAGCTGGAGCAAGCGGTTCATCACCATCGACGGCTCCATCCGCAGCGCCATCATCCCCGCCCGCACCACCGGCTGCACCACCGCAGCAGCCACCGTCATCGCCACTCAAAGTGGATCCAAATGGCCAGTCGCCAGTGCTGCCGCCCTACGTTCTTGACTATGAGACGGGGGGCAGGGTCAAGTTAACGCCAAACAACGGCAAGTACAGCGGCCAGTCGGGCAGTTCAGGGAGCAACAACAACCAAATCGTCGGACACTACACCCACACCTGGGCGGTTCACATACCGAACGGCGATAATGGCATGGCCGATGCTGTAGCCAAGGACCACGGTTTCGTCAATTTGGGCAAGGTAAGCGAATTAAGTTATTCCATTTGAAAAATGTTCCTTTCCATTCATATATTTTATGAGGATTAGAAACAAATATTACATTTAAACTAAATGGCACAAGCACACAAAAATATTTTAACAGTAATCAAACCATTTTCTTATTATTCAGAATTAATTTTCTAGAAAATTTTCAAAAATATTATATATTATGAAATTTTATTAAAGAAATATTTATAAAATATTAAATTGTAATAATATTTAAAATATTGAAAACCTATAAAATATTCCCTAGTTATTCTTCCGCTTTAAAATGAAAAATCCTAAAGCCTTCGTTTCCTAATCAAAACCAGGATTCCTTTTTATTACCCCAGATCATTTGTCAAAGAAGTTCTGGCCAACACCTAAAGCAATCGCCAGTGAGACTCGTTAGCCAGTTTAGCATATGATTAGAACACTCAAATGTGAGACTATTAAAACTTTCCGCCACAGGAGAGAAGTTCCTCGTTATGGAAAGAAGCACTTGGCTCTGGGGGTGAGCATATCAGTTGATATGGAAGAGACGAGCACCGGACAAAGTTTCGTGTGCTGAAATCAGTGTTTTACCTTTTGCCTCCTCTGCATCCGTGCTATCCAGCAGAAGCTTTGCCTGGTCGGTTGCCAGTCTGTCTGTCAGTCAGTGAAAACATTGAGGGTGAAGGAAAAGTGGTTTTGAAATGCGGGCACAGGTGTTGCCGCCGGACAAGTTTAATCCGAAAGCATTTCGACCATGTACTTTCAACTGCTACTTTGATACACACACCTTTGGATCTTCTCCGATTTCTGCACTCCGGCACTACTTCCCCCGAACACACAGACGCGAACCCGCTAAGTGACTGTCAAGTTATCCAAGGCAATGGGAATGGCCAGCACAAATGGAGCTCAAATCGCCTTGTAATGGCATCGTTTGCGATAAAACAAGGCAGATGGTAGATAGATGTGGGGCGGTAGTAGTAGAAGTGCCCCTAAGTATGTATTTACAGATGCTAGCTGTAAGCTACACAGGCAGAAATGATTGATAATGGTGTTTTGTAAAATCACTTATTATTTTCCTTAAAGACGTTAACGCAAAAAAACACTGCCTTTATGAAATCATATTCAGGTGTGTCCCTGAAAACTATAACAATCAAAAAACAACTCAAAAGCAATTGTTGGGTTCCTTCAAAAATGTTCTGACATTTCCATAGCTAGAGGCGTTTTGAAGAACATTTCAGTAGGCTTTTTAAAAAATTTTTTCCTTTGTAGCCCATATTCAAAATCTTTTTGACATAAAAAACCCGACATTTGTATTGCTAAAAACAACCCCCTGAAATGTCGGTGTCCCCGAAAAAATAGAGGTTTAAGTTTGCTTTTTGACACGCACTTGTATGAAAAACAACATAAGGGCTACTTAGTTTCATCTGATACATTTGAATTTCTTTCGATCAGCATTTAAAATTAAGCCGCTGAACACATAATCCAATGCATTTTGTTAAATCTTCTTCAAAATTAATTCGAAAAAGGTTACCAAAGCCTTGGACATTTATGAAAATGATGCAGATATTTTCAAACTTACAAACTGAACCAAATGTAGAACGAAAAAAATTGACATTTCAAAGCATCAAATTCAGGTTTGAGGGAACCCGACAATTGTTTTTCTGTTGCTTTTGATTGAGACAACAAGGAAAACAAGGGAGTTTCTTAGTTGTTTGTTGTTTTTGAAAGCAACTCTCCGAAAAAACTCTAGTGTTTTCTGGGACACACCTGATTAAAAAGGTATCTGAAAGTATGCTACAATATTTTTTATTTTTAACTGCATACTTTTACTTACCTTACTAAGAATTGCAAAGAAATCCTGTTTAAACCAAGTTTAAACACATTGATGGTAAAGTTTGCAGTGTATAGCAACAACAATCGGGAACATCTACCATCCCATGGGGAATTTGAAAGTAAAATGCATTCCAAACAGTTATTTTTGCGGCTGCCAAGGGTTAAGTCTCTGCTCTCCCGGTGTCTGAGCCCCAAATGGAGCCTGGCATTTGTGTTTTCAATTGGGGAACCGAGCGGCGGCACACGCAGGTGGCTGATGTGAAAAGCCCGAGCCACGGAAAAGCTCAACTGTGTCGATTTCCATTATACGGTTCTCCCTTCTTTTTGTTTGGCGGATCGAGCGAAAGACCGGGAGGAAATGAATTGGGCGGATGGCCGCCGCGACTTAAGTAGCCTTCGCGTCGGTGGAAATTAGTATCATTCACAATGCCGCCCGTACTCTTTCGACCATTGACTTAATTGGCAGAAACAAAAAGCGGAAAATTCAATTTATGAGGGGGCGCGGCGGGCACACAAAACTTTTGTTAGCACTCCGAACTAGTCGGTCGAAAGTCTCCGGCATTTGCGAGGCAGATGGCCGGACTCTGGGGCCGCGAAAGTTAATTGAAAATTAATTTTAAATGGCATTGTTAAAATGAATCCAACTTAAGGCCAACCTGAATGCGAACAGACACCGGGACTGACTCTCTCGCTCTCTTTCTGTCTGCAAATGAAATGTGCCATTTTGCATAATTAGATGACGCCCGAAACGGCTGTAAAACTGTAATGAGTTGAGCGCCAAGCGGAAGTGGAAATGAATCCTAGATTTTCTTCTGCCTTACTTACCTTTATTAATTGCCAACTAGATTGTTGGGAAATGAAAAATGAGCAGGTAGTTTGGAAAAAGTATTGCTTTAGCAGGGAATGGTTACACAAATTGAAATGCTTTATTTAGTTTGGGGTTGCAATAATATAAATTGTTTAAAATTTAAAGAATATATTTGAAATCACTTTCAAATTTCAAAATAAATGGCCTAAAAGTATGCAGTGAATTAAGGATCGTCGTTTACCTGTATACATTAAAATGAAAAATATTTTATTGTATACTTTTAGACACCTATTAAAATAAATTTAAAAAACAGTTTAAAAAAGTTTAAAAGTTTAAAGTGTAATAAAAAAGTTAGCATTTTCTGTTGCTGCGGAAACATAAACATAATTAAACTGTTAAAAACTTTTTGAGAAACTTGAATTATTTTCCCTTATATCATATTAAATTGCCTTTTTGGTTCACATATCAAAAGCATTACTCCCAAAGTAAATTTGTTGTTCAGGATTCTCACCTATACAATTGAAATTAAATGCTTTGGCAACCCTTCAACCTGAACCTTGTTACGCTTTGCTTCATCCAACACGAACTTTCCAGCCCCTTGAACTTTCGGCTCGCCCCCAAACATTTGAAACATAACTCGTCGAAAGTGTTGCCAAACATTTCGCACTTGTTCGTGTTGCTGCTGATTTTCCTTTCTGTTTCTCATGTTGTAATTTTTTTGCGGGGGCCAACAAGCGTTAAAAACTAAAAACTAAACTCGCTGCACAAACAAGTTACAAGTGCCGACGACGTAGGGCAAAAACAATTAATAAAACCATAAAGATGAAGTAGTAGAACGCGAGACTTTTTGCCATTTGCTCTGTAACAGCCAGAATTTTGCGATTTCAAATTGCAACTCCCAGGGTCGTCGTGGTGTATTTCAGTTGTTCTCCTGAAGGAGGGGCACATCAACAAATTCGGTGTGTCAGAATTTTTAATAAAAAACAATGCGCTATATATATACATACAGTATTCCTCTCTAGTTCCAGCCAGTTCCTTGGCTTATGGCCATCAAGTTTTCAGCGCTGAAAACTTTTTGGCACCGAAATTATGATGATAAAATAGAGAGAATAAAGTTTTCTGGACAACGAGAGTTGGTGAGAGATATTTTGGAGACAAGAAAAGTAGAAAATTGTTTGGGGATCCTTATTAACTGCACTTTTAAAATTCGTTTGCGAGTCTACACAGCTGGAGAATTTTAGTAAATAATCAGGGAACTCAGAACGAATTTTAGTATTTACATAAAAAACTTTAGTGTTGAAGGGGTGCTTTAATTAGTTTGAGTAACCAGTTTAGAACGAAAATTATATTCATTAATTTTCTTAGACTTTATTTCATTTTCAGCACTAGCACATTCCAATTCGTTTGCCTTTTTGCTAATCAAGAGGGTTTCCATTAGGTAAACATTTAAAATGACAAAAAAATGCGCTGAGTTTATAAAGAAGGCACCTTGATAAGAAGTCCTGCCTGCTGGTCCTTTACCTTCCGCCCTCTGCTGTTTGTCATTTGCTTATCTGACTTTAGTCTTCCGGTAGCACGCCCCTTTTTTCCCTCATTTCTCCCACCCATTGTTCGACTTTTGTATAGCGTCATTTACATAACACTCACTCTTTGTCCGTCTGCTGCAGTTCCTTGGGTTCCTTGGTCCTTCTTAAGTTCTTATTGTCTTCCTTTGCTCTCTGGCCGGCTGCTGATAAATGTTATCCTCCGGCCTCGGCCTGGGCCACTCATCAATTTAATTGGAAAGCAAGAGAGGCGAAAAGCTTTTACCGACAGACGGCTCCTCTTTGCCAAAATTATTTGCCTTTTTCGGGACTGATTTTTTGCTTTTTTAATTAATTTGCCACTTTCTTGAGGCAGCCAGGCTGGGTCAATTGAATTATTGATCGATCGGCAGATTGATTGATTTTGTGGCTGGCCTTGGGCAAGCGGTTGCATCGCACGCTTATTGCATTCAAGTAATTAAAATCACTACCACCAGCGGGTTGTCCTTTGAGGACACTCGTTTTCCACCTGGAAGCCATTTGCACTTAACTCCATCTTTGATAAAGGTCAACGGCTTATTAATAAGGGTCGGCCGGGAATCAGAATCCGGGTCCAAAGACCTTAAGCTGAAATGGTGGCTGTCCTTTTTTCTCTTCGATTCTGTTTTGTCTCAAGGGAAACGTCAGCAAGAAAAGGTAAACTTTTCAATGGAGCTTAATTGGTTAACAATTTGACAAGTTGTTGGGCACTAAGGTGACACATTTGGTAGAAAGGTCTAAGCTCTGCTCAGGCTGAGGCCTAAAAAAATTCCACATTTTATTAATTAGTTCTTGGAAATATGTAG